GACTCCTGGAGAAGCTTGTCATGTTGGCTTTCCTGATAGGATCTCAGCCTTCATCATCGCTGGAGGAGCTCGGGACCTCACTGTTGCTGAGGATGGCTGTGGTACTTTTGGGGGAGTTGTGGTTCTTACCTTGAGAATTGCTTCCTGGCTCCAGTGCAGATCCCCCAGCCTGCTGGCACAGACTTTCTAGTTTCCACCACTGACCTTTGGGCCTTCCCAGAGCAGATCTGTGAAGCGGGTCTGCATGAGATATTGTCATGGGCTCTAGGTCCTCAGCTGGACTCACGCAAGATATTAGGATCTTCTAATTTCTTTCTTCCCAAGGCCAGCATCTTCACATCACTAGGGCTTTAGAAGCAAAGTGAAAAGCAGGTGGATGGTGGGCATGGCTGCTAGGTCTGTCTATGGCACCAAGAGGCCAGGGAGGGTGGTAGGGCACTCCCAAGGATGGCAGCGACAACCTCATTGCATGTGTGTGTGTGGGAAACCGAACCCAACCTGCTGGCTCCTAAGCCTGGACTGTTCAGTTCTGAGAACAGAAGCAGCCTGGCTGGAGGGTTTGCAAGGCTGCAGAATTGGGTCAGCTGCTGTAGTCTGATTATCTCCATGTTAGGTTTGTGAAGTGAAATTTGTCAGTGACAAAAGTATGGGCTCACGTGGGCAACTGTCTCCCCGACGATGGGAGGAAAGCATGTGGTCACCTGCATACAATTTCTCTCTCTCTCTCTCTTTTTTTTTTTTTTTTTGCAGAACCGGGGATTGAACTCAGGCCCCCACACTTGCCAGGGAAGCGCTTATTCCACTGAGCCATCTCCCTGGCCCACGATTTTTCTCTTTATTGCAAATTCCTCCAGCATTGATTTGCGGTCACAGAAACCTATTAACTTACATTTGACAAATTTCTCAATGAAAACTGGTCTATATGCTTCTCATTTACAGTTCAGAAAGATGGACCAAGGGCCAGGGCTCTTCATTTTGTGAATGAACTCAAAACATCCCCCCAATAAGTATTTATGTACTTGATGTTTCTTTGGTCAACAACACAAGCAACTACCTGCCTCCAAAGGGAAGTGCAAGCCTGCCTCATGCTGTTGCTGCTGCTGCTGCTGATTTAATAAGAACCTCACATTTTTCCAAGCCAGAGCTTTGGAGAGATTGGTAACGTGGCTTCTTTCCACTGCAGGGAAGTTGGATTTTAAGGGGAAAAAAGAGAAAAAGAGACACCCTGCCAAAAAAAGAAAATTATGCTAAGAGTATAAGGGAGAACTCAGTCAACCAACAATTTGCCTGGGAAGTATACATATTATCACTTGACTTAGAGGTGACAGTAGAATATTGCGCGCAGACTGCTAGCTCACACGTCACCCTCTACCGCACTGGGAGGGCCGCACTAGTCCACACTGGGAAGCACCCTTGAAAGCGCGGCAGCCAGCCCCGTGCTGTGCTATACACATTCCATAATCATCAGTTTGCACTAGAAATCAGAGTGTCTGGTGACACTAACGCTAAGGACTTGAATCCTGTCTGCTGTCCTATAAGGCGTATGGTGTGATGGCGCAGCTGGGGCCAGCGTGTTCCCGGCATCCCTTAGGACAGCCCCGGGGGAGCTGTAGTTGTACAGTTACTCAGTGCCGGTGGATTCATCAAAGAAAGCTGGTTTCCTGGCTCCGTCCAGCAGTTATGCAAGTAACTCCTGCGCCACATGCTCATTTCGCCCTCAGGCCTCCTCCTGACTCCCAGCACCGACCCTGTGATTACACGGCTTGGTTGGCAGGGAGCCTTGGGGAACCACAGCTGCGGCTGAGTGTCTGCATCCTGACACCGCAAGTGCTCCCCCATGGCTGGCAGAGCAGAGGCTGCGGCCATGTGTGTCCTCAGTGTGCACAGAGATGAGCTGCAAATGTCAGTGAGAGTAGTGCTGTCATACACTGTGCTCTCAGCCAGGAAGGTGGCCCGGCCCCGGGGCTCGGGGCCGTGTGTGGACAGTCCTATGACGAGGCTGATGTCGGGCAGTGAAGCTGAGAGAAGGGCTCGGACCAAGTCCAACACCCACTGCCTTGAAAACAAACACAAAATACAAACCAAAGGAAAAGCATGCTGCTTCAGAACCCCTTAGCCTGAAGATGTAAGGTGCCACACACTCTAGAGAGACAATGAACGTAGAACACAGCATTTGATCTATTTGACACACAATGTACTATCAGAAGGAAGTGTCACGTTTAAAAGAATAAAAGCCGGAGAAAAGGTATTTGCAAAAAAACCCTGCCACAATTTGGACACAGTTCGGTGATTTTTAATTAAACGATATAAAACACAAAGCTTGTGTTCCAGATACCGAGGGGAGGAAGGTCGGTGCTCCTTCCAGAGCGAGGCTTGTGTAACATCCTCAGCTTAGAACACAAGTGAAGAACTGAATATGTCAATGAAAGCTTTTACAAGAGAAAGCTGTGTTAAGCAAGAGTTGGAAGCATTTATTTTCTCCCATTGTTAGTACTGAAGCAGAAGGCCAGGGAGATGGCTCACTAGAATAAGCGCTTCCCTGGCAAGCACAAGGGCCTGAGTTCAATCCCTGGTTCCAAAAAAATAAAAATAAACAAATAAATAAATACTGAAGCAGAGACCTCTGAGACTTCACACTCAATTTTCAATGAAAATCCATTCTTTAAAGTGCTGCCAGGGGCAGGCTGTTCCCTCGGATTCACAGTGAAAGCCACCCAACTGCAGGCCCCTCCAGGACAGGGCAGGAGAGGCAGCAGGCCTCTCCAGCTAGGCGCTCGTGGGCCTCTCCTCAGACAAAAATATTTGTGTTGAAACTGTACTTTACCAATGTATTATATAAAGATAAGAGACACTACAGGCTGAAGAACAGACTTTTGATTTTAAGTTAAAGCACTTTTACAGCCCTGAAAGTACTGTGGGCCTCCAAGTATCTAGCTAAGAAGAGATTGCTAAGTCCCGCGAGAGCCAGGTATGTGCACTGAAAAGACTGCGACTCCCAGAGGAAAAAGTGCCTTGGCCCTGCATTATCTCTGAGGTGTAGAAAATCGTTTTTCTTCATTTTTGAGATAGGGTCTCGCTGTGTAGTCCAGGCTGGCCTCAAACTCACAGCTGTCCTCCTGCCTCAGCCTCCTAAAGGCTGACACTATGGGTGTGCACCACCACATCTAGCAAGAACTTTTAAATACATTATTTCCACTATTTAAGTTCTGGTTTTCTCTCTCTCTCTCTCTCTCTCTCTCTCTCTCTCTCTCTCTCTTTTTTTTGAGTTTAAATGCACTTTATTTTTAGACAACTTACATGACATGTTTTTTTCCCCCTAAAAAACAATGCCTCCACTCCAAATAAATCACGGTCAAAATAAATGAAGCATTCAAGATGACATCAGTCCCCTTTGTCTAAAATCCTGGTGTTGGGTAGATGACAAGCAGCAGCCAGTTATGACAAGTGACAGATCCAAGGCTACCATCAAATTCATTAGCATTTTTCCATTTCTAAACCATCCTTAAAGAAAATCATACATGGTGTCCCACCAGCCTCACGGTAGTCCAGGAGAGTTCTTAACTATCAATAAAGAACCGATAGTTCTTGAAGTTAGCAAGGATGTGCTTGAGTTGCTCTGCAGCCCTCGTCATAAACAGCTTTACTCTTTCTGGTCTTTGTTCTTCAAGCTTGCCTTTGATTTCATATAATCTTTGATGTGTTTCTTGTAGGCCTCTTTTGTGAAGCTGGTTTCCTGCAAGTGACGGGTCATTACAGTATCTACACCAGCGACTTCCGTGCTTTCGGTGCCTGCGCCCTCTGGGCCTTCAGCGGAGGCAGTGCCACCCATGAGCGCGTCGTCAGGGGCACCCTCTGTTCTACTGCCCATCTTGCCCTCCAGCTCCAGGCACAGCCCGTCCGCGATCTCCCGGATCTTGTAAATGTCGGAGAACATCTCATCGTGGCTGATGAGGTCCCGGTAGATAATCATGATGGTGGCTGAGGGAGGTGGTGGCCGAGGGAGGCGGTGGCCGCGCAAGCTTAGCAAGATCAGAGAGCTCAGAGCGAGTGCGGTGCAGCCGGAGCAGTGCTGGGGGGAGGGGGGAGCGGGCAGAAAAGCTGCTTTTCTCTTTGGTTAGGCTGGAGGTATTTTGTATTCATTACATCAACTGTGAATACACTAAATTTTGAAATATGTAAATTACGTAAAATTTTTATTTGAATAGTAACAAGAGACAGGATATTTTCCCAGCATGTATACTATTTATATTACTCAGAGTCTATTAATATCTCTGTGGAAAGGGGTCAATGTACTTCGGTGAATTTATCTCACATAGATATTTCCATGAGTACTGGGATTTGCTGATAGGATAGGCCCGCTGGCTTGCTGGATGTCTTACTTATTTATGTATATTTTTTTGGTGGAACTGGGGATTGAACTCAGGCCCTTGTGCTTGCCAGGCAACTGCTTATTCTACTGAGCTATCTCCCCAGCACCCCTCTTTTTTTTTGGATGTCTTATTCATTTATTTATTATTTAATTTATTTTTGTTTATTTTTTGCTGTACCGGGGATTGAGCTTGGGACCTTGTGCTTGCCAGGCTGAGCTATCTCGCCGGACTGAGGACGCATAATTTATTACTTAAAGAAGTAAAAAGTAATATAACTGATATTTTCCTTTGTTGTCAACAGTGATGAATATCTTACCAACCATATGTATTCCACTTGCTTTCTAAAGGATGAAGGATCTCTAGATAAGCAGGTAGGTAGGCAGGTAGGGAGGTAGGCAGATGCCTGGTATGGGTATGTGGGCAGATGGTTAATAATAAAATAAAAAAAGCTAAAACAACATAATCTGGTTAGTAACTAACTTAGAACGGGTGGCCAAAGGACTCAAACTTCCAGGAAAAGGGCTACACTAGAAGCAGGTTGCCCTGCGGCCTGTGATCACTGCGGAAGCCCACCTTTGGTTGGATGGCCAGATGGAGGGAAGGAGCGGTGGGCTGCTTCCCAGGCCTTACCTTGTCTGGCCTCAAGCAGCGAATGATGAGCATCCTTTGAAATTCATTTGCTTTATTTTCCCACTCTTCCGGGAAAACCTCGTGGTGTGGTTCCTACGGTTATAGTGCATATAATTTGTTAGTCATGTTGGAAGAGAATGGTCTATTTTGATGTATAAAACACTTTTGGGGGCTGGTGAGATGGCTCAGTGGTCTAAAGCACCTACTTAGAACAAACTAAGCCAAGCAAAGCACAGGGACCGCAGTTCAACCCCCCAGCACCACATGCCAGCCAGCCCCGCCCCCTGGTGGGCTGAGCTGGCCACACACACTAAATAAATAAATAAAATTTAAAAAAAAATAAAATAAAATAAAACACTCTTGGAGAGAACATACACCAACTAACCGAAACCAAGTATGTTTGTATAAATTTTGTTGTTAAAGCTAAGCTAAAGGAATAAGGTAAGTAATGGGAAGAAAATTAAAAACATTCTAGAGAGATCCGAACGCGGCCTGCTGGCGTCAACACGCGGACCTCTGCAATTTCAGGGTATGCTCTGTGGTTTCTGCAGCCAGAATTTCCATATTAAAAATAAAAAATAAAAAATCTCCGTGTGTCAGCACAGTGAGGCAAGTGTCTACTTCCAGTTAGAAAGAAGTGCTCACAAAGCATACTGGTTTCTAGAAAACGTGTTCACATTAGTAAGGAACAATCAAAAGCACCCACACTAAATATGTGAATTCCTGTGTGGGCACAGCCTCACTCTCAAGTACAGGAGGCAGCCAAATAAAACATGGGTCAACCCAATAAAAACGCCTTCCATCTCTCTAGGTCTTTCTCTTCTCCAAATTTCCCTAGAGCTCTTGTGTACTATAGCCAAGGAAAGTAAAAAGGTCAAGACAGTGGGGGGAAGAAAAAGGAACAGAAGAGTAAGTGAGGATTGGAAAAAGATTATCCCTTCTGTTGCAGAAAACCCAAAAGAAGGCAGCGAGTGCTATACGTGTGTCCCACAAGGGAACCAGTGAGGACCAGGGCATCTGTCAACTCCAATTTCCTCCAACGAGCAAGACAAAGATTGTGAAAAGTGTTTTGAAGCTCTTCATTTTTCTCAAAACTCAAAATGTATTCATTAGCTTACAACCTGCATCCAGGAGATCTAAACGGTCCTTTGATAACATGTTAACTCATCTGTACCATGACGACCAAAATCTAAACTGATAGTAAAAATTGTGGCAAAGAAATTCAGCAAGACCACACACTCCCTCCGCCTCCTTATACATTCTAAGGATTTTGGGGCGAAGGTTTGTTTTGCTTGTTCTTTTGTGTTTGTGTAAATAAGTAAGTGCCTTTAACTTACTACATAGCCCAGGATGGCCTTGAACTCAGAGCAATCCTTCTGCGTTAGCCTCCGAGCCAAGATTACAGGTGTGTGCCACCAAGCCTGGCTGAGTGGAAGTCTAAGTAGAACCCCAGAAAGAAGCACTCATAAACGATATTTGTTTCTAGGAGATGCATCTTCATTTCTAATAAGGAGCAATCAAAAGAGATCCATATGAAATACGTGAGTTCCTGTGCAGACAGAGCCCGTGCTCAAGTACAAGAGGCCACCAAAGAAAACATGGGAAAAGCAAGGTAAAAATGGGTGGAAGGTGGATGTAATAAAACCAAGCTTATACTTTACTCTTTCTGGTTGTTTAAAGCCTGTTGAAATCTTGCTTTTGTGCAAATATAAATATATAACATTAATTATGTATCCAAAAACTGAGGAATACGGCAGTGGACTAAAACCCACCAAGCTGTCATATACTTTCTTCCACCCGTCCTTCAGGCGCATGAACTCCTTGCGAATGCTTCTGAAGGCAGGCAGGTCGTCCAGGCGGCAGATCTCGTCCCAGGACTTCTGAGGAAGCCACGTGCAAGGGTTGGCATAAGGATTGTCCAGCCCAATGCCGCCAGTCAGCAGAAATCTCCACTCAGCTTTGTTGATCTTTAGAAAACAAGACAGCATGAGCAATCAGGGCTGGACATCATGAATGAGCTTACAGCACTCTAAGGGTGAGCTGTGTGCGACCTTGCAAGGTCACATGTGGGCTCGGTGAAATCCTCCTGCCGACGCAGTCTAGCCATGGGAAACTAAAGTGTCCACTGTAACTCATTTTCGAGAGTTACGTTTTAAATAACGACTTTTTCATCATTTTAATACAGATTACTAGATTACTCATGAAAGTCTGGATTTATCCTATTGGAATATCTGCACTTCAGAATAATGAGAGTTTTGTTGACTTGAGAAATTGTAGAAATAAAGACAATGATTCCTCTGCCATGTTTTCAATCATTTTCCATTAAATACGATTACTATGAAACTTCTGCAAAAATGCAAAGAATAAACCCTTTATTCTCTCATAATTCAACTAATACATTACCATATGAAATTGATAAATATTAAACATATAAGTGCATAAAATAGTGATTTTACAGAATACTTTTCTAAAGTGCTTCTTGGATTTTAAATGAATAGATTTAAAATATGACAAAAATTTACATAAGATATCAGCCCAAATTGTTAGGTCTGATTAACTTAAACAAATTCTTAAAAACATTACCTTTTATTCAATTAACTTTTGACAATGTATAAATATATTTAACAAATTTGTATGTACTGCTGTATGAGCTTCTAATAAAGATAGATTTCTCTTTAACTAAGACATGAAAATTTAAGTGCAACTAACATAATATACTTTGTGTGTACTTGTATTTTACTTCTGTGAAAGTCTTGTCGTATGTCTCCTTAAGCAAGAAATGAGTAGCATCATCGATTAACTGTAATATACATATATATTCACATGCAAATTAGTACATTGATCAATTAATGTTAGCATTATAGTGTTTCGTCCTCACAGATTAAGACAGTACTGACCACGTGGTCATGGATGAGAAGGTTCACAGTTAGGCAGAAGGAGAAAAGCAGCTTGTCCTTCTCAAAGAGTGACCGGCAGACATTCACGTACAGAGAGTAGGTGAAGTGGTCCCGGAGAATCTGCAGTCTGGGTGGGAACAGAGGAAGGGAGAGGCATCAGAAGACATTCTTGAGAAAAAACGCAGGTTCTTAAGAAAGCTCACTGTAAACTTTTAGATCTGTACTTTTCTAACAACCTTCCTGGCCAATTACTGGCCAACAAGCAAAGGCCTTCCTTCATGAGCCATGGACCAGTCTGAGAGCTACCCAGAGTAGAAGCCCTTCACTGGCATGCTGTTTTATTGATGACTTTCTCAAAAAAAAAAAAAAAAAAATAGAATCTTTCTTTCAGAAAGAAGTCACTGTATGGCATATCAAGCTATTGCCCGGAATGGTCTGTGCATTACTATTAACTACAAAGCATTTCTGGGGTAAAATCTGACCATTTTATTATGGAAATACTTCCAAATGTTTTATATTAACAGCAAATTTCGTCCTGTGTACTCTACTCACGAGCCCACAGAAGCTGTAGATACCATACCTCGATTAGACTATACTTCTATTCGTTGCAGAGACCACCTGGAAATGTATATAATAATCACACTATTTCCAACTAACAACTTTCTAGTTGGTGCTAACATGTGCAATCTGTATTCGTAATATCTTAATAACAATAAAATGCTTTTTCACTTTAACTTAATTATAACATGAAATAATTATTGAAATCAAAATTTACCAATATTTTCGTTAAATTAGATAAAATATGATAGAAAAGAGCAGTTCACTGAAAACACTGGCAGAGAGCTAGTAACATAGAGTAGTGGTCCACACTTATGAACATGTTCAGTTTATCTAAAGGAAAATTCAACACAGTTTGATTGTGATTAAAGAAATTATACTAGTGTTTTCTTTGCATGGTTAGAAGAAAAGAGTCTACTGCTACGGCCAGATGGGAGCTCTCTGTGCCTGTGCCTCTTCCTTGCTGTGTTTTCCCTCTTTGATGACCTGTGTCCTGCACCATGCTCCACAGCAGCAACCCAGAGAGGGGAATGAATGGACGGACCTTTGCTCTCGCTGAAAATTCTGGGAATAAGCCTGGTATAATAGCCCTGCAAATACTTGCTGAAATAGTGTTAAGTTCATAGACAATCTGAAATTATCACACTATTCCCGCTCCCTTTCTCACACTAACGGGTCTCTGCACACAGGGGGTTTAATTTGTGTCACCTATAACAGTATAGCTAATGCTCAGACTGGGTCTTTATAAAATGAAATTCTCTGGATCCTAAGACAAATTTTCTCTCATAGATAGATCAAAGGGGAGATTTTTTATTACAAGGGTCAATCACATCAGAAGTTCAATATCTGTTATGGTTTGTGTCTAGTTGTCCCATCAAAGCCTCATACAGTCATGAGATTAACTCATGATCCACTGAGGTAATGGGTCTTCCGTACTGCTGGGATTATGGGTGTGAGTACTTCCCCCAGCCTGGGGCAGAAAGCCTGAATGTAACATAAGAGGGACAGAGAGACAGACGTGCTCTCTGTGGCCATTGCTGCTGCTACTCCTCCATTTGCTCTCTTGCTGCTTGTCGCTGCCATGAAAGGCTGCCCTCTGCCATGTGCCGCTCTGCCTTGGAGCCAGCTGAGTACGGACTGAAACCTCCACTAACTGTGAGCTAAGTAAACCTTTCCTCCCTTCATTTTGAGAGCTGGATATTTGTCCCAACAACGAGAAAAGAATAACCGAGTCACTATCACTAGTGATAAAAATGCAGATTAAAATATATTTTAATAACCTATTCTGGTGGGAGAAAGATGAAAAATTATCACTCAATGTTTCTGAGTGATACAGTGACACAAGGTCACTGAGGTTCCTCCGACGGATTTTGTATTTGAATTTATGTTTAAGAGGAATTTCTAGTTTCTGAAAGAAGTAAACATTTATATTCTAATTTGGGAGTTAATCTAAGGAAATAATTAATGATATGGATATTTATATTTATCACAGCAATACTTTTAGTATAAAGGCTGGAAACTGTAAGACAAAGAAAATTATGCAATACTCACAAAACGGTACTATTGTGCAAATACTAAAAATGTTTTGGAAGAGTATTTAATAACAGAAGAATATGGTCTTGGTATAAGTGGTAGGAAAAGAGAAATCACATGTGTATAATGTACACAGACATGTACTTCTATGTGCAGATAGATTTGAGCTTGACTTCTGTAGCAAAACTGTATCTTAGAAATTTGTTTCTGTACTTATATTCTTTATTTTTCTTGCTACAGTTATTTATTCTGCTACATAAATTCTAATGTATTTAATTTTGTAAATAACAGATAATACAAATTAGCACGTTAATTCATAACATCTTCCACAGCAGTCATACTATAATGCATTCTTAGTGTTTTTTTAAATTTTATTTTAGTACAGGGTCTACAGGGTCTCACTAAGTAGACTGGACTCATAGTGATAGTCCTGTTTTCAGCCTCCCAAGCACTGGGATTATAGGCATGCACTATCACAGCCAGTCTCAATCACTGTCTCAGTGCACCCCAGGTGCAGGGCCTGCATGGGAGGCCAGGGATCGAACCCCAGTCCCTGTGTCTGGCCTAAGCAGGCACTTTAATCTGCTGAGCTATCTGGCCAGCCCTTGCATTTTTAGTGTTTCTTTTTTCTTTCTTTCTTTCTTTTTTTTTTTTTCAGCGGAACCGGGGATTGAACTCAGGCCCTTGCGCTTGCCAGGGAAGCGCTTATTCCACTGAGCCATCTCCCCGGCCTTTGCATTCTTAGTGTTATACTTAAATCATTGTTGTGAATAACACCCATCAGAAGGCAAACAAAAGTCAGACATATACACCTGAGCAAAAGAAAATGAGAAGTAATCTTAGGCCAACATTAACATTCTAACTTTGGCAGGCCCGTAGTAGTAGTCAGGTGATTCCTACACTTTAGGTAGAGCTACAGGCCAAAAGCTGGAATCTGGCAGCTATGGGATGTTTATCAGTGAGCGACAGGTAAAGAAACCACTTGTTCTCATTCAGGTGAGAATAAATTTTTGATCTGGCATCTGGATTCTTAACTGGAAATTCATTTCACTAAAAAATAAAGATTTCCACACATTCACTAACTTGAACTGCAGGTGGCAGATACCTGACTGTGCCATTGGGCAGCTTGGGACTGTCCCATGCTGTCTGATGGGGCAGTCATGCAGGTCCACCCACGGCTCAGAGCCACTGGGCAGTGACGCATGGGTCACAGCTCCTCCTGAACGTGTGGAGCAGGGCTGGCTGAAAGCGTCTCCCGTGGTGCAGCTGCCTTTGAAAGTTGTTTGGCAGCAAGGACTGGAGGGGGGCGACGTGTGCTCTCTGATTACCAGGGCTGTTTCCGGGTGTGCATCTGCCACAGGTGTGTACACATCTGCACAGAAGGCCACAGACAGGAGGGCTGAAGGCAACAGAGGTTCATAATGCCCCTAAACTGGACGCAAACTGCTCCGTAGCAGAATGGCCACTCTGGGGCACGGTGCTAGGAGAAGCATTAAAAACAAGCAGCATAGCCTGAGCCAGCCCCCCCCCCCCCCCCAAAAAAAAAAAAAATGCTTAGCTTAAAAAACACAAAAAACAAGCAGCGTGATGCCACTATTGAAAACAGGAGGCCAAGTCCCTTCCCTCTGCTTCTTCAGAGCACTTAGTCAGGGAACTAAAACTGCTGCCGCCTCCTCTTCCCTCCCTTTGAAGTGTCCACAAATCTTTAGAAAACCTAGGCCGGCCTCTGCGGGCTTGGTGCACCAGCAGGGTCTTTCCTGGACTTCTTGGTGATGTAAGTGTCCAGGGCCGCTGCAAACGCCTCCCAGCACGCGGGTGTGCAAAGAAATCTTTTCTCCCTCCAAACAGAGCTCACTTTCGCACACAGATGGTTACCTCACCCTCATGAGCAGGTGGAGTGAGAACAAGCCAGCCGAGGGTGACCCCAGGTGTTCTATCTGTTTGGTTGTTCTGGGGGACAGGGGTCCTCTGTGCCCTGCAGCCTCTTTGCTGACTGCCTATGATGAATAGCACATTCTGGTTTAATGCTTATTCAAAGATAAAACTGCTCTCTCTCTCTCTCTCTCTCTCTCTCTCTCTCTCTCTCTCTCTCCCTCTCCCCCTCCCCCCCTTGTTGGGGGAGATTTTGGTTTTAATTATGTGCCTCTCACAGTGGAGAGGTGTTTAAGAGTGAAAGTGAACAGGGCCCTATGCTGTCCTGAAAAGCAAGTGTGAGTTTTACAAATGATGGAGCAGAGGCTGGACCCAGCCGGCCAGAGAGACCGCATTTACATGAGGTTCTGACACAGGGATGGGGCCCCTGGGTAGGGAGTTAGTGACTAGCAGGGAAGGGAGGGGCTTCCCAGGCCGCTGGCGATGTTCTGTCTGAGCTAGGTGCACTCACAAAGATCCATGGAGACAGCGCTGACTTCTGCACATTTCTGCAGGTCTGTCTTCCATGAAGGTTGTGAAGTATATTTTCTGTAGTCTCTGAGTTCAGAATTATCCTTTGGCTTACTATAGTCACACACATGATCATCTCTGTTTCTAAACTAAGGAATTTAGCTATAAAGAAAAGGCCATTTTTGATTTCCAGATTTCATCCAAATCTCATATGTGGGTACAAAATGGTTTGTTTTTCTACAAATCTTAAAGGGTTTATGATGGCTCAGAGCTACAGTGACCTCTCCCAGTCTCACATTTGTGGAAAGTGATTAGACCATGGGCCATCTCATCCCTGGATTCACCCATCGCTAACTTCCTGGCTGAAGGGTTGCTAGGAGGCGGGGCCTGGCCGAGGCCCGGAAGGTGTGACTTTGTCCTTTCCTCCCCTCCTTGCTCCCTGGTTGCCCTGACACACGCAGCTCTCTCCCACAGGCCCCCTGCCCTACTTGTCTGCCTTGGAGAGAGCTGATCACAGACAGAACCCACCAGAACCATGATGCAAAGTGGACACTGCCTCCTTTAAGCTGCAGGTTCCCATTGCTGGGACAAGCTGTTGGTTAGCTCGTCCTAGCAATGGGAACACGATTAAGGCAGGACTCTCCACTGCAGCTTTGAAGAAGATCGATGTCCTTTCTTGGGGGGGGGAGTTCTAATTTGATATAACAAGAGACAGTAAGTGATCAAGTGTTAAGCTTCATGAATGGGACTCGTTCTACAATAATGTCTTTGAATGACAGGCCAAAGAAATACTTCTCTCCAGATGCTAGCAAATAACTTGGACTTAAAACTAGTTAGAGAATAACATGCTAACTCCTCTTTTAACCAAGGTTGAAATTAAGAACTATGACAAAAGGCAGAACTTCAAGTATACGTGACTGTAGTGCACTCAGCACTGGAGTAAGCGCTGGGAATTGAATTCACCCTCTCCCTCTTCTCTGCCATGTGCCAATACCTGAAGCCACTTTTCCCAAGCTCACCATATCATCCATCTACTTTTATTGTCTTGTATTCTAGCTTGCAAAATAGTGGATGATGTGAACTAAAACACTGTTCAGGCTAAGAGTACTCAAGTATTTCAGTCTTCCACCTTGATAATGAAAGGAATTCAGTTCAGATTAGTGAGATTACTGTTATGATGCTCCTGAAAACAGCTCTGAATTGTGCGTGACAACTACTCAACTGAGTTTCCTAGGTTGAGTAGGGGTAGTAAGAAAATGAAAGGTTAATGCACAAAAAATTTATAAAGGGGAAAAGTTATGATTATTAGCATTTTTGTTCAAAAAGTAATTTCACATTGGACCCCATTAAAAACACATTTTAATACCAAGCTGAAAATCATCTTTTGATAACAAATCAAAAGAATTTTATCCCCTCACAGATTTACTATTAAGGTTTTAGTTCCATTATTTATTATAATAGCCAACTAGCATGAGTTGTTTTTGTTTTTTTGTTTTAATTGTTTTATTTGATACAGGATCTCTCACCCTGTAGTCCAGGTTGGAGCTGAACTCGCTATGTAGCCTAGGCTGACCTAGAACTCACAACGGTCCTCCGGCCTCCGCCTCCTGAGTGCTGGGATTACAAGCGTGAGCCCCCAGGCCTGGCCTCAAATAAGGTATTTCATGTAGATAAGAATCACATAAGAAAGTTTGGGTTACCACAAATAACAACGAGGTTTGGGGCTTTTTATCCTCATACTTGACAGATTTTACACATGTATCTACATGTGAAGGAAGCACTTTGAGAAGGCGTCAAGAGCGGAAGTTGTCTCTTTGGGGGTACTGACTACTTTTTCCACGCATTTGGTCACTAATACGTTTTGCATGACCAGAAGAGGTAAATGTTTCTTCTTTCGAGACTTATATTTTGATCTTGTATCTCTGCAGACAGTTCCTTGGCTGACTAAATTTGGACACATCTGTCAAATATCTAACACAAGTTTGTTTCTATAAAATAAGTTCATTTTAGGTAAGTGTCTATAATACATCATTCTAAAACAACAGTGAAATTACTGATCTTCCGACTGTAACTAGCTAGTCGTGTTAGTTACTACTTGTCTTACATACCTTACTGGCAAGTGCTCTGATTTCTCTGAATTTTCAATAGACAGGATGAAAAGGTTAATGAACCAGGTGAGCGAATACTGGTACATGGGCTCGATGTTGGCCAGGTCGGCGATGGAGAAGAACAGGATGGAGGAGTGCACGGCGATCGGGCGGTAGCCCATGCGGGTGGTGTCGATCTTTTTCTCTGTGTCTTCAGCTACTTCCTGCTTCTGAGAAATCTCGTTAGCCAGGGCCTTGGAGGAAGATAAGATCTTAATAGCAGTTTCATCTTCTAGTATATTGCCTTCTGAAGAGGAAAGAACTTCTAAAATCTTGTCTTCTATTTCTTTTAACTGCCTGAAATAAAACACACATTTCTCAGAAGAAAGGGGAATCACATTTAAAATCACTTCACGTACTTGTTCTTTTATAAGGAACAAAGAGCTTATAACCTAAAGAAATGTATCAAGTTGTGACAAATAGCTGCAGTGGTAATGTCGGATAATTAATATCTTATCTTGCCAAATGTCACTGAGATGGGCCTTCCTGCCTCAGTTCCCTCGCTAATGACCATTCATGGGGTACCTAGAGAGAAACACAGTGGTCCCCCACTCTGCCACAGGAGCTCAGCTCGGAGTGAACAGGCGGCATCTATCACTCCATTTGTTTTCTGAAATCTCACCTAGCTTCTAGAGCTGCGTCTGCTCCATCTATGATATAGGGATGTGAAATTCCCAACCTGGCCTGAATGAGTTCGTGTTCTCTAAAACCGAAGAATGAATTTTAGGAACAAACAGAGGCTGAAGGTAAAACTTTATTTGGAAAGGAAAGCTTCTGTCGGAGAGGGACAGAAGTGGGTCCCAAGCAGGTTGCCCAGGAAGCTGTCTCCTTCAGGTTATTTTATAGGACAAAACCATGCAGGGCTAAGGTAGAGACAAAGGGGTCCCGCTTAGGCAGATATAGGGTGGGACAAAACTATGGTCAACCAATGGGATTACAAGCACCATTGCCCAGGTAAAATTTATTAGGCCTACGACCAAATGGGGTAGCGAGTCACGTAGCAAGCGGGCGACCTTATCTGGTGGCCTTCAGTCAATGATTCTTCCTGACTAATGAGCAATCCTGGATGCCAACTTTAGGGAGGTCAGTATTTGTTTGATCTTTAGGTCTGGCTTACACCAGGAGCATCTCCCCAGTAAGGTGTCTGGTCTTTGTCATCCCCTTCGAGGGCCTGTCCCTGTCTAACTACCAACAATATTTCTATCTAACTCAGGCTGCCTGTAAAACTATGATATGGCTATTACAGGCAGG